GACCTCATCCTCCTGAGGTCGATTATTATATTATGGCAGCTGTCAAGGACCATAGCAAGGATCAATACCCCATTGTGCTGAGCCCTGTGCAAACAGAAATAGAGAGACAGCCACTGGCTGGCCTCTAAGTGAGCTCCCGACATTTACTGGGAGGGAGACATTCCATCACTCTACAGGGATATTATCAAAACCAGGGCTACATCCTTTAGAGCAAAGTTTTCCCCCAGCTAAAGCCCGCTCTTTGCCCTGCACCCCAGAGGTGGCTGCATTCCGGGAGCGCTGTGTGTACATCGCATGAAAGCCTCTGTATGGACGTCATGTACCTGTTCGGACCCTGCCTAACCCAGTCTGCTCTCTCCTGCTTTGGGCTTTCCAGTCCAGACAGTATAAAACCTCACACGGCATCCTTCCCCCCTCTTCTCCTTTAAAAAACTCTCAGCTACTCAGGCTTGCATCACTTCCCCTGGGAAATCTAATTGCACGCATTGTCAGTAAGTGCTGCTTAAGACTTAGCCTATTCATCCCATTGCACAGACACACCCCCTTCCTATACTCACTCCATCCCCCTAAATAACCCTCTTCTGGATTTACAGCCTGGAAATATTGCTAGCCAGTTGGCATGTCTCCCGCATGTCAGCCAAGCTAGACGTATCGGGCCTGATCCACAGATCAGTGAAATCAATGGAAAGACTCCCCTGGACTTTCACAGGCCATTCAACTTTCTGCATGAGGCCAGGTCTTGCTGATCTTCTCTGAGGTCCCTCCAGTGTGAGTCCTCCTGCTTGAGGGCTCTGATTATTAGAGGTCAGGAGGAGACCTCACGTGGGAGGCAGATTATCCCACATCTGCTACTTTGGGGTTCTTACACCTTCCTCTGAACCCGTCTGGTGCTGGCCCCTGCCGGAGACATGGTACTGGACGATGGACCTCAGGTCTGATCCAGTCTGGTGATGTCGATGTGCCTCTTTTGATTCCATTTTAGGATATACGCAAGGCCTTGCTTCCTGAGGGTCCTAGATTCTATAGATAGGAAAATGTCCCTCCCTGCACCAAAGGAAGTGGGGTTCTGGACTCAAAACGTGAGTTCGGGTGGGGGTGTCATCTGTGTCTGTGCATGGGATTGTGTGCGGGGCTAGGCGTGTGTGTCGGTATGCATGTGTGTGCCACGAAAACGGCCATGCTCTGCCCTAGGAAATCACATGAGGGATTAAACAGCGGTGGCTGCACAGACTCTCCGGCAAATTACAGGCTACTGCAAGGATCGAGTTTCGTTTACCCTCCGGGAAAAATATTATGGGCCAAGGAAGAAGAAAACATACTCTTTATATGGGGCAGTGAAGCTTTTACAAGTGCGGGGGGGGGGCTCGTGGGGGGGCAGTGAGCTCATGCGTCTGTGGCAGGAAATCATTATCTCCCCTGAAAAGGAGACGTTTTGTTGGGAGCCTGAAAACAGCCTCAGTGGTTCTTTGTACAGAGCTTTGCGCGTGTGCATATACACAGTGTGTGGGTGTAGAGACCCTTGGCAGGTGTCAGTCGGCCCAGCTCTGTCCAGTGGATCTCTGCCGATTTGTACCAGTCCTGGGCCTGGCCCACTATCCTATTTGCTAGCCGCGCGAGTGTGTTTTGTGTCAGGCTCTTTGTGCAACTCGGCTGTGTTTGTCCAGCACGGCGGTGGTGTCCTGCGGACTGTATGTGTCTGCATCAGTGTGTGTTGGTGTGCACAGCCAGGGCATCTCTTCTAGGAGCCGCATTTTCAAAAAAACTCAGGGCTCGGCACTCACAATCAGGGCCAGATTTTCAAGTCCTCTGCTTGCATGAGAAGTGCAGAGTCCGGCTGCAGCCAGCTGGCTGGGATCTGGGTCCCTCCTTCACTGTGTGGGAGGGTAACTGGATTACATGGGTCTGTGGCATGTGCTTTTGGGGCGAGGCCTGTCACTTACTCTGCACGTACAGCACCTAGCACGATGGACCTCTGCTCTCAGTTAGGGCTTGGGGGAATGTCGGGACCCTGGTACAGGGGAAGAGGGCACACAGAGCCTGGTGTGGGAGGAGGAGAAGGAATGGGAGCCCCCAGAGCTCCTGGCATGGGGCCGGGCAGGGAGTCCCAGAAACAGAGGGGGATGAGAGCGTTACATCGGGAGCTCATGGGGTGTGCACTGGGCCTATAGAAGCAATAAAGTGTGCAACCCTCTAGTGATAATAACAAAGAGTGTGTGTGTGCGTGTTACCCATTGCACCAGCCTTTAGGCCAGAATGCTACCAGCTGTTGCCAGCGGTGGGAGCCTGACATCAAGTGCCTTATGCCAGGCACGGGTGCCTTCTGCTGAGACAGCGTTGGCTCTCCCCTCTGTGGCCAGACTGCCAAGGTGTAAGCCAGGTGGGGCTGGGGGTGCATTGCTCCCAACCTCTACATGGGGGATTCCGTCTTTCCAATATGGGCTTTTACAGGGAGCTCTTATAAAGCCCCCTGCCTGCCTCCTGCCTTGAGTCCCTGCTGAGCACCCGAACCTTTGAGAGGTCTCTTTAAATAGCAGCAGGAGGAAAGTCCTGACCCCACCTCCACCCATAAAACCAGCTCATTAGGTTTCTGTCCACAATGAGAGAGAGACCCCAGAGATCAGGCAAAGATGGGTTATAAAAAGAACCCCTGCAGGCGATGGTCCTACACCCGGTGGTCACTAACAGAACCTTTGAGCTCACCCCACTGGGCTTGAGGCTTTCCTGTGTGGATCAAACTGTGTTTACTGGAGGCTAGCCGCCGGGAGCACCAGCATTCCCTCTCATGTCACGAGAGCTGAACATCCTCTGGGCTGGATGTCAGAGTGTTTAGCTGAGACCAATGGCCTGAGAGTGCTCAGCTCCTTGGAGGCCAGGGCCCTAGACTGGAATGTCCTCCGAGCTCGGTGTCTTATCTGCGGGGGGCAACTCCATAAGCACCTAGGGTGATTGTATGGGCCTGATCCAAAATGCCCATTAAAGTCTTTGGAAGGGGAGTCTTTCCATTGCTCTACTGGGAGTTTGAGTCACAGGCTCTAATTCTCCGCTTGTGTCAACAGCCAAATGCCACCCAAGTCAAGGAAGCATTTACACCACCAGAGCATTTGGCCCACAGTTTTAAAGACACCACTATGATCATCTCTGGCCTGTGCATAACACAGGTCAGAGAATTTTGATAAGAAAGAAAGAAAGAAAAGGCTGGAAGGATAGATAGATAGATAGAGGGGGTGTATGGGGACAGACAGATAGATATTTTGATAGAGGGGGCATATGGGGGTAGATAGATAGATAGAGGGGGTATATGGGGGTAGATAGATGGATACAGGGGGTGTATGGGGACAGACAGACAGATAGATTGGTAGAGGGGGGTATATGGGAGTAGATAGATTGATAAGAGGGGGTGTATGGGGTAGATAGATAGATTGATTTAACGAAAAATCTCTCACTACCTGTTGGTAAAAATTAACAGGCCAAATTCATCCCTAGTGTAAAGCCATTGACAGATCCAGTGTTTACATCTTCTACAAACTGAATAATGACCCAGCTGACACCCCCTCACCCCAATCTCACCTAGCCTGACCAGCAGGACAGAGATGTGATTCTGCGGAGGGAGTTTCCCCCAAGTTTATAAAAGCAGCCCTTCGGAAACCAGTCTGAGCATTGCTCTGAAAACAAAAACACAAGTCACAAGTTCCCTAAGGGCTTTTTCGAAGCAGAGTCTTAACTAAAACCCCAGCCCCTCTTCACAGTCACCCCTGCACCAAGCAATTCCTCCCCAAAGAATGGTGTTATAACTGCTTCCTTTATTATATTTATTTTATGCCCCCCCCAACAACAGCCCCTCCTCAACCAAACGAAAAATCTCCCTGCGTCACAACTAATAAGAATAGAAAAATGAAGCCATGCAATGTTAATTACCTCCTCAGGATATAGGAGGATAAACGCAGCTTTTACACGGGCTGACCGCATAATTACAGAGACCGGCTGCACAAAAATGTTAATTCCAGACCAGGAAACTGTTCCACATTAATCCTGACATGAAATTTACTGGAAAGAATGAATGGGGGACTCGCCTTGCTTGTCTCGCTCTCTCTCACACAGGGCTGGATCCTGCTCTCGCTCCCAGTCCCAATGGGGGCAAAACCAAAGCAGCTGTTAATGGCTCGACAGCCAGGAGATGGAGAGAGAGCCTCAGCGTCTTGCTCACCTGGGAGATCTCGAGCATTGTCCAGCACCAAAAAACCAGGACAGAGCTAAACACAGGCCACCAATGCGAGCAAAAGGCTGGTTCTGGTTCTGCTCAGAGAGAAGCAGCTGGACTCTCCTCTGACATAGACCAGGGCAGTTCCAGTGACTTTAGCTGAAGTTTGCAGGGAGGTAAGTGGTAGCCGATCCCACACCCAAACCCTTCCCCCTTTGCTCCAGTGAGGTCGGTGGCAAAATCCCCTCGATCTACTTCAAAAACTGAAGGATTGGGGCGGACCCACTGCGCTCTGTAATGCCCCACGGGTGTGTAAGCGGTGCAATCCGACAGCTCTAAAGCTTAGGAGTTTTATGCAACATCCCGGGGCTGCTCGTACCCTCAGCCCCCCTCCCCCTTTAAAATGCGAACCGGTTTCACTCACCCTTCCCTCCCCCGAGCAGAGAAACCGGGAAACTTTGACCTCTCTGGAGCCAGGGGGGGCGCTTCAGAGGAATCGCAGGGTCAGCCCGGGAAGGCAAAAATCCCCGTCCCCTTCCTCTAGAGTTCACAGCCCTCTTTCCTTGCACGCGGGGTGAGTGTGTGCGCGCGTGCAAGGCGCTGGGGGGGGGCGCGTGTGTGAAGCCTGGATTCCAAAGGCTGCAGCCCGATCCAAACCCGCTGATTCCCTCGGGGCCAGGCCGGGATCTCCCGAGACCTCCCCCAGCCCGGTGACCGCAAAGCGCCCCGGCAGCTCCAGGCTGGCAACCGGCCTGTGTCCGCCCCGGCCGGCGGACGGGGGGGCGAGGAGCGGGGCACTCACCTTGCCCGGGAACAGCTGGCACAGCAGAAGGAGGCAGAGAGGCGCCCCTGTCGGCTGCATCTCGGCTTCTCCGCCGTCCGTCGGTCTGTCTGTCCGGGCCGCCTCGCCCCCCCTGCCCGGTTGCAGTTAATAAGCAAATGCAGAGCTCGTGCCCCGGGGCTCGTCCTTTGATCCGGCGGATCTGTTGTTTGGAGGGGGGGGGCCGCTGATGCAAACTTAAGAGAAACCCCGCATCTAGCAGTCCGGGGGGGGGGGTGGATCTAGCAAAACAAAACAAAAAATCAAAAACGTTGCAGGAAAGGCGATTTGCTAAAAAAATAAACTCCCGCACAAAGCCGCAGCAGGGGGAGTTGTCGTGTCCGGCATCAGCCCCTACCCTGAAGTGAGACGGATCCAGATGCTCCAGCCACGGCTCCCGACCCCAGGGGAGCCGAGGGAGTCAGTCCAGGGCGAGCTTTGGCACAAGCGAGCCTCGCTCAGCCGCCCCCCTGCGCTCGGGGCCGGGGAGAGCCGGGATCCGAGCCTCCTCCCCGAGGGGAGCCAAGGACGCTCCTTTGCAAGAAGGGACCTGGCGGAGTTTGCTTTGCTAGCAGGAGCCGCGGCGGCTGGAAATGCCTCTGTGTGTGTGTGTGTGTGAGAGGAGGGCTGTGATGTGAGTCTCCTTGGCCCTACCCCTCCCAGGATCTGTGCCGGCTGCCACCTTCTCCCGCCCCTCTCCGTGTCTGTCTCCTCTCTTTTCCATGCAGACATGAAAGAGGGAAGGGACCCAGGATGAAAGAGGGGAGGGAGCAACAAGCGGGGAGGGGTGGAGAGAAGAGAGAGATCATACATTTTTAAAAGTTACAGGGGGGAGGGGGCGGGTTTCAGCCCCTTGATTGGCTACCGAGCGGCAGAGGGGGCAGGTTTCTGCTCTGGGACTGGCCGAGAGCAAGAAGGGGTCGTAAATCTTCCCAGCGAGTCTGGTGGGGAGGAAGGGAGCTGACAGCTTCCCAATTCCTGGAGCCGAAAAGCACTCCCAGACCTGATCACCACCGGCCTTTGTTGTGTAATCGACGCCCTCGCCTTCCGGGTCTAGCCTGGGGAGAGATGGGCTCCTCTTAACCCAGAGCTAAGGCTCCCGAACTTTGGATCCCCCTAGATTTGTGTATGCACGTTACACACACACACACACACACACACAACTGCACATAAGCACTGACACGCACACATGCCATCTACAGTTTTTAATGCACGGGAAGATTAGGCATGGATGCCCATTGCTTACTTGGCAAGGAGGTGGAAGCCCTTAATTAAATCAAAGCCAGCTTGGGTGGCACTGTAAGGCAGTATTTCTCAAGGACCAGTCTGTGGACTGGCGCTGGTCCCTGAGATCTCCCCGACGCAGTTTCGGAAGGCAGCAAGCCCGTCCCGGTATCAAAAAGGTTGAGAAATGCCGCTCTAAAGTCGGTTTCAGGGTAGCAGCCCTGTTAGTCTGTATCCGCAGAAAGAACAGGAGGACTTGTGGCACCTTAGAGACTAACCCATTTATTAGAGCATAAGCTTTCGTGAGCCCATTGCTGCTCACGGCACAGTGGGCCCTGTAAATACTTCCTTAGCATCAGGAGCTTTGCAAAGGTTGCCCAAGTGGAAGGCCTAGCCAACCTGTCGGGGAAAGAGAGCGTGGGCACCGCACTGTGTAGCCACCGGCCACCCGTGCTGGGCTGCACAAATAGACACAGGGGCCCGAGGCCGACTGCAGTGTGTAGCCCGACCCTGCGTTGCATCCACCCGTGTCAGCTGCCTGCCACCAGCAGAGACACGGCTACTGGTGGTGATGATGTTACGTTCGCGCCTAGACGCTCCAGCTGGGACTGGGGCCCTGGTGGTGCCGGGTGCTGTACACACACATAGGAAGGGATGGGACTTGCCCTGCCCACTGGGCCACACGGCCATCGCCCTAGCCTGGCGCTAGTCTCATTGAGCTGGCCTGAACGGCGCGCGAGACCTCCCCTATCTAGCAGAGGGAGCGACGGCCTCTTGGGTCCACAGAGTCCGTTGGCCGCCACTGCTGTCCATCCCTGATGCAGTGGTGGATCGCAGGGAGATCCCAGGCCTCCCACCGCAGCCTCTCGCCTGGTCCCCCAGAGTCACTGTCGTTCTCTTTTGGTTCGGATCATAAGACTTTGGTCATTTCTGATCATCTTAGCGCTAGCTGGAGAGAGGCAGCCGGGGCCCAGCCTGTAGGGCAGAGGGCTGGGAGTCCGGAGATGGTGTCGGGGGGTCTGTTTCTGACGCTGAACTTGGGCCAGCCACGTCACCTCACCTACTTTATCTGTCTTGCCTGTTATAGGCTGTAAGCTATTTGGGGCGGAGACTGCCCCTTGCTATGTGTCTAGACAGCCCCTACCCTGGCAGGGTCCCAATTTCAGGAGGGGCCTGAAGGTACCACTAAGCTTTCTTCCACGCCACTTCAGACATTGGAGTAGGAAGTCCAAAGAAAGGGCAGAGAGCAAAGCGACGGAAGGCGATCCGCGAGAATGCTGTGGGGTGGAGTAAGAAGGTGGCTTTTCCGCTAAAACCACTGATCTGCGGGGATTTCTCTTGTGATTAATCACGTTGCTCTTGTCGACTCTTTCAGTTAGCATAAGGATGGGTTGGTTTTTTTCCAAATCCCGGTGTTACAATTATCCTGTTGGAGATGTCAGGCTGAGATCTGCTCTCCCATCACCGGCTAGATACTCGCGGGGGCGGGGGGTGGGGGGGATGCAGAGCACTGAGGCTCTCTATTCAGCCAGAGGAAAGGAACAGCATCGGAACCTGTGGCACAAGCTGCCCGGAGCTTGCAGGAGCTTCCTCTCCTCGTCCTCTCCATCTAGGTACAAGTACATCCCCCGCTGCACGAGAGTTAACGCCTTGATCTCCATTTTACAGATGGGAGCGCCGGCCCAGAGCCTCGCAGGTCGTGAGGTGCCCATCTCCCATTGAAATCTGGGCCAAGGGACTTGCCCAGGGTCACTCAGTGAGACTGTGGCAGAGTACGGACTTGAATGCGGGTTTCCTGAGACATAGGCAGGTGCCCTTGCCACCGGCCCATTCTTCCTCTCCCAAAGTCTCTCATCCTTAGTCCGCTCAGTACGTGGCCACTCAGTTAAGCCTGCCAGTTGTGGTGCTAATGGTTTAACTGATTTGGAGACAGTCCACTGGGAATATGCTAGAGACCCACCAAACTCATTCCACTCATGGCCCTGAACAGCTGTCAGATGGGCACAGCTTTGGATAACTTGAGATGGAATTCTCATAAGAACGGCCAGCGTGGGTCAGAGCAAGGGTCCATCTAGCCCAGTGTCCTGTCTTCCGACAGTGGCCAGTGCCCGGTGCCCCAGAGGGAAGGAACAGAACAGGGCAATTATTGAGCAATCCATCCTGACAGTCAGAGGGTTAGGGACATCCAGAATGTGGGTTTGTGTCCCTGGCCATCTTGGCTAATAGTCACTGCTAGACCTATCCTCCTTGCCCCCTGCCTTTATTTCCCAGGTGAAGTGAGCTGGAGCTCACGAAAGCTCATGCTCAAATAAATTGGTTAGTCTCTAAGGTGCCACAAGTCCTCCTTTTCTTTTTGCGAACACAGGCTAACACGGCTGCTACTCTGAAACCTTTCCCATAGATGTTTCCATCCTGCTGTTGGAGAGGCGCTAACAAAGGGAGGGCTGCTCCCACTGACCTTCTTCTCTGCAGCTTGAGCAGGAAATGAAATCCTGTGTGGACGTAGCTCAATGATTTCAATAGTAGAAACGCTCCGGAGCTAACAACACCTCAAACCTTGGCTGTGGATCCAGATCCCAGCTTTGTTATGTCTAGTGTTGTAGCACCCGAGAGCCCTTGCCATGGAACAGGATCCTATTGCACTGGGCGCAGCTCAAACACAGAACACAAAGACAGTCCCTGCTGCAAGGAGCTTACAATTTAGGTATCAGACAAGAGACAACAGATGGAGCCAGACCAACCGAGGGGGAGCACAAGGAAACAATGAAACAGTATTCATCAGTGTGACAGGCAGTGGACTCTGCATGCCGGCAGCCTAACAGCTGTCAGGTATTTTGCAGGCATCTCCGGGGAGGAGAGTTTTAAGGAGAGATTTGAAGGAGGATAACGAAGTAGCCTTGTGGATGATTACAAGGAGCTCCTCCCAAGAACAAGGCGCAACGTGGGAGAAGCCATGAGGCTTTACAGCTCACAGGCAAACAACAAGGGGTTAAATTCCAGCTCTGAGACCCCTTTTCATCCCCTTGTCTGCTACCAACCAAAAACAAGAGAGAGAGAAAAGGGGGAATTAATAAAATCTAAAACAAACAAACCAACAACTCCCTACCCCAATCCGAGCTATGATGCCCCCAAAAAAGAGAAGTGCAGGAGACTCCATGAAATCCCCTAAAGGACTTTGATATTGCTATAGATTTTTATGAGTCAAGGACCCAGATACTAGGGTGATGGGCAGGGATAAATAGAAAGATCGATACGAGAGATTTTTTTTTTTTTTAAATCAGGGTTTCATTGAGCTCACTCCATCTCAATAGCTCACGCTTAACATTTAGCCCTTTGCAAGGGAGGCTGTCAAAGCACCAGGCAAACAATAACGATCGACAATCATGGTGCTCTTAGAGGTAGGCACTGCTGGGGAAACTGAGGCACAGCCAGGCTCAGCAATTGGCCATGGTGTGGCGTTGGCAACGTCCAGGCAGCTGATGCGCCGGGGCTACTCCTTGGTACACTCGTCAGAACACCAGTTACTTTGGGCTGTCCTCTTTGTTTCATTGTAGCCACCTTGTGTCTCCGATCCTCGGCTGCTCACCCCACCAACTTGCCCTCAAACAACAAAAAGTGGGGCAGGTTCAATCATGTGTTCAATGTGTTTAAAACGTCTCAGTGCAGGGGCCCAGCTGAACAGGGGCCCTGAGCTGCACAGAGAGAATAAGCTGCCCTCGTTCATTAGGGGAGGTGCAACAGACAATGCTGAGAAATGGGTTTCCCAGCGAAAGCATCCGAGTCCAAATGCTGGTGGTGGTCACGGAGCCCCCGATCCTTATGCCCAGGGAATTCCCGCGGTCCCTTCCCGTGCGTGGCAGGCGTTACACCAGGGGTGCTGCTGCTGACAGATGCACAGCGTTGCTGAATGGCACAATGCCTGCCTCTGCTTCCCCAGACTGTCCAGACAGCTGTGCACGGGGGCGTCTCCTGTCCACATCTGCCCACGCCTGAACACAGTGGGTCTCCGACCGGCTCTGCCCCCTAGGAACACAGGAGACATTCATCTGGCTTGCAACAGGCTATCAGGTGAACCTGCTCCCGCTTCCCCATCATCACTGCCAGCTCCCTGCTCCTCCTGCAGCCCCATCTCCTCCTTTCCACCACCCTGCAGGCCTGATTCTGAGCTCACACCAGTGCCGATCAGGAGAGACTCCACTGGCGTGACCCCATGGAGATCTGAATCAGGCCCTGGGTACCTAAAATCAGCCCCAGCCCAAGCCCTCCTGCTCTGAGCCCTGTACCTCAAAGCCACACTCCCAGCCCCAGCGCCCCAGCCCCATGCGTGTGGCAGAATAGCCTATTGTATCAGCCATCTCGTTCCTTCCCTCTTTGGCTCTCACTCTGGGACGTGGGATCCCGATAGCTGAACACAGCAAGTCCAGTGTACCCCAATCTGTGGCAGGCATCGATACCTAATGCTTCTGTGGGAGCACCACCATAATGCCCCGATGCAGTGTTGTAAGGAGCAGAG